CAATTCGTGATTGTAATCCTTTCCCCATTCCATCCCCATCCCAAACCAAAAAAAATATTTAGATATTTAAAACTCTAAAAAAAAGTATTCTAAATTACAATTTTTTTGTATATCAATCTTATGAAAATACATCATAAAATGGTAGTCAAAGTTCTTATTGTTTGACTCTAAAAAGAAAATTAACACAACTAAAAAAAATATATCATATAATATTAATCAAATTTTTTATCGTTTAACTCTAAAAACTTCTTCGCAAACTTGGAAAAAAAAAAAGCACGACATGTATATATATTTTTAAGTTAATTACTTTTTTCTCACACGCAAAATACAAGCTAAATATCAAGGCATTATACAGATCACAGTCACAAAATTTAGGTTCGATAACTTGACAGCCGACGTTACTGACCAGTGACCACCGACCTACCCCTTAAGTCATTTTGAAACTTAGGCAAAAAATAAAAAATAAAAAATTAATACCAAAACTCCTTTAATTAATTTTCTATGACTCCCTCAAAGTCAACCTTACTTTTTCAAACTTCAATCTATATATATAAACAAAAACAAAACCATATTCCAAACTCACACAAACACACACAAAAAAAAAATTTCCTCCTTCGATCCATATATTTATTTATCAATTCCTCCAAAAATGGGCAATGGATGTTACACATCAAATTTATCAACAATCAAGGTTATATTTCACGATGGAACGACGAGGATGGTGATCGGAAAAAAGCTAGCTGGAGAGATAATGTTTGAGTACCCCGATTGCATGATATGTCATGCGGACTCATTTTTCATTGGTCAACCAATTCCATCGTTAGGTATCGACGATAAGTTAAAAAATAACGATACGTACTTTGTTCTTCCACTTGATTCCTTCACAAACAAAGTGCTTTCGGCTTCTTCTCTAGCTACCTTAGGTAGTAATAATAGCAATGATAATAACAAAAGAGGTCATGTTAACTTCAAGAATCCTGCTTTTGAATATATAAAGGGATCAAATGGTAGGGTTTTGATTAAAGTCGCGCCGGAGTTTATGATCAAGTTACTTCAAAGAGGAAATAAGGAGGAAGATGAGGATTGTGGATCTACTAGTAGTACGAGCCCTAATTTTTTGTGTAGCACACCTGAGTTGAGGAAGCATTACGAACAATTGGTTGGTGCAAAAGGGCAAATATGGTCACCTAAATTAGATACTATTTCTGAATATAAGATTAGGTATTCACCTTGTAGATTGATTGGATTGGAATGGAGAGAGAAAGAATAGTTTTTTTTTTTGTTAAATTGTGATATAATTAGACTCTTTTTAATTTATTCCTTTTGTTTTCCTTTTAATTTTAGAAGTAAAAGGTTGATTTTGCATCAATTCTCAGCAAAATCTCAAAATTGTAATTGTCTCTAAGGCTGTACAAAGCAATATTTATTCATTTATATATATATATCATGTTAGTTTTTCAAAGTGAAATATTAATGCATCAAAAAAAAAAAGTAAAAATATCAAAATTACCCTTTTACTATTTGAAATAGAGTAAAATATATCCTTCAACATTTTTTTTGATACTAAACTATCTTTTCTGTCTTACTATTGGATCACTTCTGTCCTTCCATTTAATGGAATAAGATGTGACATTCAATGGTTTTGGGAGTGTGGTAACGAAGGAGAAGAGAGGAAAGGTGTGGCGGGGATGGGCGAATGTTGGGGCGAAATTATTGTTTATAGAGTTGATGGTGGAAGTGAAAGGGGGAGATTGGATCATTTAGGGTGTGTTTGGTACGAAGCAACATGTTTTCCTAGAAAACGTTTTTCTGAAAAACAAGTAGATTTTGAATTTATTTTCTCATGTTTGGTTGGTGAGTAGAAAATATTTTTCGGAAATGATTTTTAGTGATTGATTTATGAATGAAAAATATTTTTGAGGAACATCTCTTATTTTTACTAGAGTAGAAAATAATTTATGAAATTGAAAATATTTTTTAAAAACAATTTTTTTTGGGGTGGGATGGTGGGGGGGGGGGGGTAGTGGGGGCAGGCAGGGGGAGAGGATAGGAGTGAAAAAATAAAAATTTGAAGTTGATAGTATTTTTAAAATGCAAAATTAATTTTTTGAGGGGTTGTGGTTGTGGGTGGGGGTGGGGGCTGGTAGGGGTGGGTAGGGGGTCTGGCCGGGGGAGGTAGGAGTTTAAAAATAAAAATTTGAAGTTGAAAAAATTATTAAAAAGCAAAATTAATTTTTTGGGGAGGCAGTGGGGTTGGGGGAGGGGGGCTGGGGGGAGGCGGGTCAGGGATCGGGTGAAAAAATAAAATTTTAATACAAATACGAATTGTCTCTTCGCAAAAACTGTTATAATATAGATCCCCTTTCTCTTGATACCTCCATCACAAGCATGTTACTAGCGGTTGATCAATAAGATATCAAAAGGGCCTGAAAAAAATGTAATAGGCTGCTAGTCTAGGCTTGTACCACTTCTTCAAGCTCCTCCTCTTCATTCATAATATCAACAAACATCACTATAGATATCAGGTGATGTTCGAGCTAACTTCAACCATTTCATCGAATACCTATCACCTTCCTAGCTAGCTTCTGTTATGACTTGATCCCAAAATCACTAGCTTCAGATTCGTTGTCATCAGCAACTTCAGATTCATCACCATCACTTGCTTTACAAATGAACCTCTGTTGTGTCCATTTATTGAGATCATCTACTTTCAGCTCATCATCACGGTTCACCCATTTGAGAACCAGATTACTCACAGATATTTCCTGACGTACAAACGTCTTCATTCCAGGGCAGTCGTCAATCTTCACTTCTCTAAGAAATGGAAATTTAAGAACATGCTTCGTGAGAAAGAAACGCCTCAACTTACACGTAGCCCTCCAAGCTGCAGCTCTTCCAATCAGGGGGAAATACGGGCTCATTAGTCATAATTTCTTTTCCTTGTTGTTCTTCTACTGTGATCACTTCTTCCGTTGATTGGCAGCCTGCTATATTCAGTATTCGGAGATTCAGAGCACATCTGGCCACCGATGGAGACATCAAGTTTCTCAATTTTCCACAATTCCTTACTTCTAATATTACAAGATTGCTGAAGTACGCAGTTGGAAGTTGGTAAGAGCATATAACAGTTATGCTGTTAGCCCAATGGATAGTTAGATCTTCAAGGCCGTGACAACAAACCTGCGAACATTGAAGGGATGAAGTAGAATGACATGAGAAAATAAATCAACATATTAGCTGTTACATATAATGAAAGAAGAATTTAGAATGAGAATCAGATTAGGAATTTGAAATTTATAGGTATGTCCAATGTCATCAAGTTAATATACAAGGAAATCTCTAGATATTAATAATACAGATAAAAAGTCGTTGCGCAAAAGCTATTAGGTTCATCTGAGCCCTTAGATTACAATAATGTAGATTCACATATTTTTGTTACCTCCGTCAACATATACAGATATCAGGTGACAAATAACTATCTGAAGATTACTACTACTATTTGCTTTTGTTAAAACGCTAAGAGAGCAGTATACCAGGGGTTTATTAATGCACGACACAAATATGTATAGTAATCAGTAATACAGCTAGTGGCAGAAGACAAACCTCAGAATTGAACATCGTTTTATCGAGATCATCTACTTTCACCTCATTGTCATTGTTCGCCCTTTTGAGACACGGTGTACTCACAGATCCGTGTTGGACAAACGTCTTCATTTCAGGGCAGTCATGAATCCTCACTACTCTTAGAAATGGAAATTCAAGACCACGTTTTGTCAGAAAGAAATGCCGCAGCTTAGGCAGTCCTTTAAGCTCCAGATCTTCCAACAGGGGAAAAAAAAACTCGTTAGTCATATCTTCTCCTTGTTGTTCCTCTTCTGTGATCACTTCTTCCATTGATTGCAGTCTTTCATCTCTAGTATTCGGAGATTCAAAGCACCTCTGGACACTGACGGAGACATCAAGTTTCTCAATTTAGCACAATTAGATACATACAATTTTGCAAACGTACGAAGAGAAAGCAGTAAAGACAGTATTGGAGAGTTTGATATAAAAATTGTAAAGATATAACCTAAATTAAACCCCAAAAGCTAGCTCAACGAGTGGATGATTGACCAAGTACACACCATTCCATTTTCCAACCAATGTCGGACTCTAACATCCCCTTTCACATCCAGGCCCAATAGGAGCATGGAGCGAGAGCTAGCTCAAACAAGGATGAACCTGACTCTAATACAATATAATAGACAAGGTATGAAGAATCTATGTTACTCAGTCTCTTCAAATATTCGATGGGTGCATGTCGGATACTTTAAAAGTAGTGCATTTTGGAGAATCCGAGCAACAAAGTGGAGAATAACTTGATATTTCATTTTAAGAGGAAAGCAATATAACTACATGTACATGAGGTGCTAGCTAAGGAAAGAATATGGTATTATGTACATTCCAAGGAAATAGTTTACGTTCATTCTGTAGCAGAGAATTCACTTGACATTACTGTATTATTTAAACTAAATTCACCTATTTTTTTGTGAATGTTTATATTTGTATAAATAAAAACACTACTAATATTTAGGATTACTAAATATTTAATTAGAATTGAATATGATTTTAACATGCTTGTCATAAACTAAAGAGGTATGTATTAGTAGTTCCAATAACTTAGCAGAAGATGAATATTTTTGTTGTTAAATATAACTCAACTTTCACAATGGATATTGATACAAGTAGATAGTCAATGAATTAATTAAATATGCTATTGTTGTACAACTTCATGGAAACATATTGTTGTTGGCATGTTAGGGTGAATGAAGTGCTTATATAAAGCTGATATCTAGCATAATATTTTGTCACATAGTGTCCATTTCACTACGTTGTTTATCTTGCATTCATAAGATACTTAGAACAAAATTTTGAAGAGCTTGATAAAGATACAACAAAGTTTTAAAGAGTATTTTTAAAACTAGAAAATTAAGACTAGCAGAGAAAATAGAATCAGAAACTGATTGCAAACAATATAAAAATATTTTCCTCAAAGAAAGAAAATCAAGTCCACTGAATACACATTGTCCCCTTAAGAAAATTATTTCCCTCAAGTACCCGATGTTAACAGAATATATCCTCCCAGGATATAATGATCTTGCTCACCAGTGTATCGGTATCTAAAACCACGGTGTAAGCAAATCACTCAACGACAATAAAGTACACTTTGAATAATAGATTTAGTAGTAGAAGAAGAAGTCCAGAGAAATTATATTATTAAAATTAGAGAAAATCCCTCGATCTATAGAAAATAAAGGTTAGTGTGAAAAAGTTTGAAGCCTCAACTCTTGCAACAAGGGAAATAAGGGCTCATTAGTCATGATTTCTTCTCCTTGTTGTTCCTCTTCTGTGATCACTTCTTCCATTGATTGACAACCATCTATCTTTAGTATTCGGAGATTAAAAACACCTCTAGACACTGATGGAGACATAATGTTTCTCAATTTTTCACAATTTGATACATACAATGATTCAAGCTTGCTGAAGTAGGCTATTGGAAGTTGGTGAGATTATAAAGCACTTATGCTATTAGCTCCATCGATAGATAGCTCTTCCAGACTGAGACAAGAAACCTGCAAATTTATAAATTAGTTATCATTTTTTGTTGTTGAAATGATAGATCACATAGAGCAGTAGAACAATATATTTTCATCAAAAAGAGGATTTGAGTGAGTGATGGAGTTGTTGGTTGTAGGCAAGAAATTTTGAAACTCTGGCAACTCAAAGAAATTCATTTCCCGTAACGGAGGGAACTCAATGCCCTCAACACTGTCACTGCAAAAGTGAGTGAGGCATTCAAGAGAATGAAGGTCCAACTCATATAAATTAGGGAACTTGATTACTTCACAAGTCCTCCGTGAGATCTCCTCTTCCTCATCATTAGGGGAAACTACAATCCAACTCCCTCCAGCCAAGGACACGCAAAAAGCATATTGTAGACCACGGCAACGGCTTACCTCCAGTCTTTTGAGTTCAGGGAATGGAATATTATTCTGACATTGGATCTTTAATAAATGTGTCAATGAATCACAATCATCCAGGCAGAGATATTTCACAATCTGAAATTCAACCAGCTGCAACTCTGTCAGCACATTCTTGGAGCCCTTTCCAGTTGAATATACATTTTTGCTCTTCCTAAGCTTGTGGCAGATCCGATCACCCAACTTAGTGACCTCTAAAGAAATATTCTTATCGTAATCATCTATGGTTGAAGTCGTTCTGTAAACTCTACCCAATGTAAGAGCGTAACGTGTCAACTTGGAGGAAAGGCCCAAGTTACTGTAGATCACATCTCTGGAACATTTACTTAATGTCGGTGCAGTCAATCTCGATAAAGATTCCAGCTCACTTAAGGTGGAGTAACTAAAATGTGCTACTCTCACCATATGTAGTTCCTCCAATCGTACTAGTCTTGATAAGACACGTGGTGAAATCCTTTCAAGTTCTACTTGCTTATAATTCCACAGCTCTAACAAAATTAGATTTGTTAATTTTCCTATCTCCACTGGCAACTCCTTTGACTGAGAATCCTTGATGACGAGAATTTTTAAAGTGACAAGTTCCCCTATAACGATATGTCATCCAACCTTAATTTACTTAGACACAACGTCCTCAGACTTGAAAACCTCTAAATGGATCCTGGAAGAGTCCAAATTGACTCCTTATATCAGTCTCCCCTCATGCTTAAACATTGAGTTTACTCATGCCATAAAAAATCGTTCTGTAATTTGAATGGCTTTTCAAAACAGAGTTTTAACATTAGAAGCTTCAGTTTTGGGCAAAAGATTGGTTTAGGAAGCTCATCAAATTTATTTGCAACAATTGAAATGTGACTGAAATGCTCATAAGAAATTCTTCTTGTGAGCTCTTCCGAGTTCACATTATGACTTACCATAAAGATTTGCTCTCCTTCAGGCGCAATATATATGGCCACATCACGGACCACATCATGTATTTTGACATAATCTTTTTCTGAACCTTGGGATAACAAGAAACAACCTTTCAGTGTTTCTAATAAAAGGCACACTCTATTTCTTGCATTTCAAAATTTTCTATTTCTGAAAATATGCCAAGTCTCATTACATATCTAAGTAATTCTTCAGTCCAAATATCACTATCTTCCTTGAACAAAGAACAAAGCAAAAAGAGGTATCCGGCTTCTTCACTTTCCAAGTGATCAGAGCTTAGCCTCACCTTTATGTGCACTTCAAGAATATTTCTTGTTTTTTGCATCACGTAATTGTTTAAGGGCATCCTCCCAAGAATATCTTACTCTGAATTCTTTTGAAGTCTTGTTGTTGACTGACAGTTACCATGACAACATCATTGAACCACCTATCTTGTTTCTTCCTTGCTCTTATTTTCTCAGTCAGTGTTGTCTTACCAACACCACCCACTCAACATATCCCAACCATATCTGTTGTTACGTGTTTCAGGATCTGCTTTGAATGGGTAAGAGACTTCAGTTGATTATTAGGAGATCAATTTTCTTTTAGTCGTTATCCTATTTACTAGTTATAGTTGTTACTAGTTTAGAGGCATGTTAGCAGTCTTTTAGTAGTCCATGTACTGTGTTAGTTGTATTGCCCCCTACTTCTTTAATTAGCTTGAAGTTCAATAAAGATTATTCTTCAGATTTCAATTCATTTCAGTTAAATTAATAACATTGGTATCAGAGCCCTCTATTTAAGGGACTTGTGTGAGACTTACAAGGTTTTTTTCTGAGTGTTTATCCATAAATTCTCTACAAACACCATTAAAACAATGGAGAATGCAAACTCTTTTTCTGCTATGGCTCCATCAGTTTTCGATGGAGAAAACTATCAAGCCTGTGCAGTGAAAATGCAAGTTTATTTGGAGGCTAGTGATTTGTGGGAGGTTATCGAGGAAGACTACGAATCCAACTATGGCTCAGATTAGGGTCCACAAGGAAAAGAAGACACGAAAATCCAAAGCTAAATCTTGTTTCTTTGCTGCAGTTTCTACCACCATTTTCAGTAGAATAATGACATGTAACTCAACCAAAGCAATTTGGGATTTCCTCAAGAAAGAGTACGAGGGAGATGAAAGAATTAGAGGAACGAAAATACTGAACTTAGTCAGAGAATTTGAGATGCAGTGTATGAAGGAATCATAAACCACTAAGGATCATTCTGATAGGTTGCTTGAGACTGCCAGTAAGGTAAAGATACTTGGAAATGATAATAGAATAGTTCAAAAAATACCTGTAACTTTAGGTGAGAGATATGAGGCAACTATTGCTTCATTGGAAAATACTAAAGATCTCTGTAAGCTTAGCTTGGCAGAGTTATTGAGTGCACTACAGGCACAAGAACAACGAAGTATGATGATGCATGAGGGATCCATTGAGGGAGCCTTGCAAGCCAAGTTGCAGTTCGGTTCAAGTGCCAGGGGGGGACAAAGGAAAAGGAAAGAAAGGGAATCATGGAAACTACGAAGCAACAACAGCGAGAAATGGTGTTACTGCAACTAGCAACAACAGAGAAGACAAATATCCTCCCTGCCAACCAGAGGCGGATCTAGGATTTGGAGACTATGGGTGTCATATCGTTATGTTCGCAAATCGATCAAATACTAATATATATTCGGCCTTGTAAATAGCGACTTGGGACGGATTTGTTCAATCATTCATCCTTTCAGTCTATGAAGATAAATAAATCGTAAAAAAAAATATGATAATTTGCACAAAGAATATTTTTTCCTATTTAATATTAGTATAATCATCATATCATATATCATATATTATTATAAGTGGGAAGCTCCAAAGTAAAAAAACTAAATTACAATTTTACCCTTATGCTAAATCCAAATGTTATTAAAATAAATAATTAATTAAATAGTAAATAGTAGAATTTCTATAATATTTTTATTTAATTGGTATACATATGAGTAAATTAAATAGAAAAAAAATAAAAATAAGAGTTATCTCATTAAATAGATACATGTATACGTTTCATCTTTTAAATTAATTTATATTTTAATTATTATTTGTCTTTAATTTGTTATAATACTTTGACCTTTCATATTCCAAGCTATATTTTTTCCTATAAATACAAATCATTCAATAGTTTTTTCATAGAAAGATTTATATGTGATACAATTTTTGTGTGTGGAAGACTAGAGAAGCTTTAATCAAGTGAAGAAAATTTCAAGGTAAAGAGGATTTGTGTCAAGATTACAAGGCATAATGTGATTATAGGGATGAATAACACTTCAATTACGAGAATATCGGAGTTTGATGTATTTGTTTTTGTAATTTACCGAGATTAGAACTATGATAAGACCCCTCCATTTATATAGTTGAATGTCACTTTCATTAACTTGTCTTCCAAAATTTTTAACTTTTTTTTTATGGTCAAAGGTTGAATGTTTATTACTATAGAGTTTTTTTCAATTTGCATTATCAATAAAAATAGAGAAAGGAATGTCTTTTCTATTTTCGTTGGTAGCCTTATGCTAAACTTGCTCCAATATATGATATTTTTTTTTGTATTTGTAATTTCGTATTAAGAATGTATTTGATTGAATGGTGCATTTTTTGTATGAATCTTTTAATACTTAGTCATAATGATTTTCCATTACAGATTTAATATATTTGAATTCTTTTACATATTTTATTTTTAGATTACAGTTTTGTTTACATATTACATTTAAATTTTATGAATTTTTTAATAAATTACATATAATATTAAATAGTAAATGATCATATTAGTATACATGACTTACAACCACTCTTCATTATGTAAATGTATATAACTCTCACTAATTATATTCATTATGTTTATCACTCTCATTTCTCATCGATAATCTCAAATGGATTAATATCTATTTATGACAACTCTTTGTATTCCTCAATGCTATCCTATATTAAATAGTGACATTCACACAATAATATCTTAAGCCAATTGAAAAAAAAACATGAGAAAATCTCTATGCTCTCTTTTCTCGTCTCTTTTTATTTGTTTAGTTTAACATTTATGTTTCTTGCTTGTTGTTATTGTACAACTTTCTATTGTTGTGTTATTATTAGTGATAATTTACTATGGCTTGTTGCTTTGTATACATTTATCTATCATGTTGTATTTTAATATCTTCAATATTGAATTTGTGTGATAGTTATTTTTACTTTATGCAGTTTTAGTCAATTTTATAGTTAAAGATATATTCTTTTTATTAGGAAGTTATATGTAGTTTCTATCGAAACAATGATGAATTTTGCAATACAAAATTTATATGAAGTATTTTGGGATAAACGTGCAACACTTGTTCCTAAATCTAGTATTATTATAAGTTTGAAACTCCAAAATTCAAAGTTAAATTACCATTTTACCCCTATAATAGTTTAAATTATTTTTAAATATTAGTTCATATGATATTATTAAATAATACTTACTGGAATTAATAACATAATAAAGACCAAATTCAGCTTTGAAAGTGCAAAAATTTATCGTCCTTCATTATTGATAGGCTGAATGCACTAAAAACTATTTAATATCCTCGGAAGGTGGAAGAATGAAAGCATCATAATTGATTTCTAGATAAAATAATTTTTTACTAGATAAAAAAATATACATGCATTGGAATAAATAATTTAAAAAATAAAGCAATAATGATTTAACCTTTTAAGTTACCTACTTTTATTAGGCTCTTTAAACCATTGTCATTATTAAAAAAAACCTCATATTAAGGTGATAGGTTAAAGATATCAAAAGGTCACTTCTTGGATCACTTAATTTGTAACGTTTTTATCTTCTATTAGCAGATTTTTCATTTTCCTATGTTATATATTCTACATTCTCATGAAATCATGTTATCTCTATTATTATTTTTATATGAGTTTGTTATACTCAATGTTCTATTTATCTTTATTTGAACTCATCTAAGTTGTTGAATATCTCAACTACTAATGAATTTTGTTAAACCTGGTTTTTTTCTATGAAGGTACAATTAAGAAATGACTCTAATATTTCATAGTGACGATCAGCAAGTGAAGCAATACAATTGAACTGTTTCAAGTGATATCGATTTTCAGGTAATAAATCATTGTTCCTTACATGCAATTAATTATTTTTATGTAAATTGATGTGTTCTTAATAAAATTTTAGTTTGATTTTTAAACAAAAATCAATTTATAGAAGTTGAGACGGTACACTTAATTGGATTCTCGAAAAAAAAAAGTCTTTTACACAAGGATAAGAAGAAAGAGTTGTAGCTTTCTCACTGCATTCATGACAATCAATGAAATATCCTACACAACAAAAAGTCGATGTGATTCTGTATAAATAATTTTCTACCTTTTTTCGACCTACGTGACACTATCAACCAGATAGCTTAAAAAATTGTCAACGCCCTAGGCCCAGAAGATAGTGTCACGTAGGTTGAAAAGGGGAAGAGAATTACTTATAAAGTAAGTTCGGGGGTAATAGGACCCTAGTATAGTATGAGTATAGTTGAGTGTGTCTCAGGAATTTTGTGCATAGATTAGGGGCGGGGGGTAGTTGTGCCTTTTCCCTAACCCTTTAATCTATCTTTTTCCTAATCATAACCGCTTGTTGAACAAAAAACCCAACTCAGCATTCTTTGGCTTTTTTTGAAAGCTCCATTTCTCGATAAAGCAACAAAAATTTTCTACTTTTGAGGTGAGTTAGCATTTATTACGTGCTTAGCCCTTTGTTTCTTGAAATCCGGGTTCTCTTTTGCTGCTTGTTTTGGATTCCAACCTTAAGCTATTTGTTATAAGTGTGATCACTTGATGTATTCTGGATCTTGGTCCAATGTTGTATATTTTTGTTCTTGTACATGGTTAATCTTTGAAAATCAGCAAACTCCATTTCCTTTTTCATGGGGGTTTGCGCTTTGGCTGGTAATTCTCGAAAAAAGATATGATCTTGGTAACTCAGTAATATTGAGAGTTTTCTTGAATTAAGGTTAGTTTATCGTTGGATTAAGAAAAATTCCTTTTGTGTTTCATTTGGGGTTGTGGCTTGATGTTGTTTTCTCATTGTTTATATGGTCATCGGGAGCTAATCTTTGCAAAAAGCTCTTCTTTTTGTCTAATATTCTTAGTTACAATCATTTTAGTACCGAAAAAATCCCTTTGCTTCTTACTCATTGCTCTTTTATTTTTATTTTGTGTTACGATGTCGCGAAAATCTATTGTGTTGAATGTGTAGTAACCAGTTTAGATCTTCTTTTTATCTTTTTCTTCCCTTTACATTTTCCCCATATGCGCTTATGTTGTGATCCTTAATATCATGCATGTTTGGTATTATTATTAATGTAGATGCATTTTCCAACTTCCTTCATTCATTTTGTGTTTAGAACCTCTAAATATAGCTCAGAATCATTTATACTAGTCTTGGTCTGATGTGTTTGGTAAACGGTTTCATAATTTTTTTTCCATATTTCATCAATGAATTCTTGGTTCTTAGATGGTTATGTGCACTTAGAATGATTTAAAGCTTTTGTGCTCATAAAAATTGCGATTAAACTTGATATATGATCAACCCCATAGCCGCCTATGGCATTGAAGTCCTTGTTTTTAGTTATATACAATTGGATCTCTGTAGAAAGATGCTACAAATTATGTTTATCTTAACTTAAATCTTCTTTGCATTATAGTAAATTTGGCTTTCCTTATCTTGTAGATACCCCAAGAAGTGAAAAGAGAAGAAGTGCTTTGATGGGTGGTCACATATCTGATGAGGACTCTAAATAATATAGCCCGAAAAGATACTTCAATGCAAGGACCTAGAAAGAGTAGAAGTGTCATTCGGAGTGGCCATTCTAGTATCAGAAATATAATGACTGGTAATCAGATTGCAATAGCCAAACCACCTACTCAGGCGAAGTTCAAAATAAAATTCCCAAACACATGACAGTTGAAATTCAGCTTGTTAAGACTTAGTATAGGCTGTGTTTTGAAGTTGATGACAACTTAGTGGTTCTTTGCCACGATAGTGGCTTGAAAGATTGTTGGTTCAAGTCTAAGGTATACAGGTATCACAAAATTATTTGAAAGTTCATTATGATGACATCTAGGATCGTGATGGTCCTTAAAAGCTCAAGCACTATAACTTATGTTTGTATACTATAACATATGATCTACTTGCATATATTAACTTGTCCATTCTACCTTCACCATGTTTCTTCATCACCTTTGTTTGATTTATAGGTATGAATTCCTTCCAACTGAGTTGGAGGATCTGATAAATTGGGCATGAGATGCAAATGACACATAGCAGTTTGGAGCCAGCCTCCGGAGGAGTATTCTGATTATTCTTTAGATTAGAAGTTGTAGTTGATGCTTCGTGATCTGACGGGTGATGGAAGGTATTGTTGTTGGATTTAATGTCTGTGGAAGCGTCGATCTTCAGGTTTGATTATCTAGTAAGAAATAATAGTCCCAAAAATCTAAAAAACTAAAATAAAATAGAAAATAAGAAATAAAAAGGGATTTCTTATTTATCAATTGATGCATTGCAACTTCGCATAAGGATAACTCAACAACCAGGGAAGTAAACCTGAAAATGACCGCTTCCATAGACATCAAATCCAACAACAACACCTTCCCGCCACCCGTCAGACCACCAAGCATCCACTGTAGCTTATACTTCAAAAGAATAGTCAAAATAATCCTCCAGAAGTTGGAGGCCGAACTGTGAGGCGTCAGGTGAATCTCATGGCCAGTCTATCAGAGCCTGCAACTCTGTAGAAAGGAATCTATTCTTATAAACCAAGCAAAGGTAATGAAGAAACATGGTAAAGGGAGTGCGGTCAAGTCAATATATGTAAGTAGATCATAAGTTATAGTTTATAAACTTAAGTTATTGTTGCAGTGGTTAAGGTACCTCAACCTTTTCAGGACCATCACAATTTCGGATGTCATCATATTGAACATTCAGACGTTAATTTTGTGATACCTGTAATACTTTACACCTGACCCAACAACCTCTCATGCAACTATCATGGAAAAAAGAAGCTCTATGTTATCACAAACTTCAAAAGATAGCTTATATTTAGGCTCAACAAGATGAATTTCAACCAGTCCTATGCTTGGAAATTTTATTTTTAACTTCGGGTAAGTTGATGGTTTGTCTTTTGCTATCTGGTTATTAGGAGTATAATTGATTATCGAATACCTGTCCACTCTCACCAACACTTCTAACAACAAAAGACTAACATATTACTCCTTCGTCCAAAACTCCATGGAAAACAACTCTAAGCAATCGGTGGGTAAGTTCACTAGGCACACAACGCAACAAGTCCTTGAGAAACAGGAAGAACAGTTGGAGATTCAAGGACTACAATTCCGTAAGCGGTTATGGCGAAGATAATCTATTTGGCATGAACTTAATGTTTATGAGCACATAAGCTTTACATTCTTCGTCATATATTATCAAAAGTGGATTACTCTATTGCTTTACACTAGATCAAATACAATTAAATACTATTCATATCATATCTTGATCAATTTTACCTACTCTTCTTTAGTTTGGAGTGTATTTGTGCTTTAAGTTGTGGAAGACGTAATGGAAAAAATGGGGTGATTTGTGTTGTGTGAATATCATAGTGAGTAGCAAACTACAATTACAAATTTTGGGAGGCCAAACAATAAATACAGAGTGCTAAAAATTGTCAAGTAAAATGGTGAATATAATGAGTTAGATAAATTGTCTGAATGATCTTACTAAAGATGTTTCTCAAGTCAGAATAACAATCCGATACATATAATGAAAATGTACGTGAGTAGTCCCTTAAGTGTGGAATCATTGTTTGAGAGTGTTTGAACTTGAATTGAAAATTGGTTGGATAAATTAGAAAGATAACAAAGTGGGAATTTAATTTAATTGAATAAGGATATAATTGTCTTTTCAATATTTTTATAAATGTTGGGGCCTCGAATCTTACCTCTGAAGCGCATAACTTTGGTGTATTTCACACATTATATTAGGTAGGATTCAAGTGTTTTCTGATTTAAGTTTTGGATAGTTAAAGTGTCTATTTGAGCATTGATAAAATTATAGATTAAAATTGCAAATTGAAACCAAGTCAAGGGTTCAATTTATGTATTATGTCAAATACAAAATGTTGCACACCTTTACCATCACTACCAAAAAAAAAAGTAGCTCCTATTAATTGTTAATAGATGTGATTAATTATAAATACATATTAAAGAAAGCTAAGCATATCACACATTTACCATGACTATCAAAAAGTAATTTTTATTAATTGTTATTAGACATGATAATTTTAATAGTTGTCTTTTCTTTTCCCAAAACAGTTTCTAAAGTATTAATTATCTTATCATCTTTACCTTTAGATCTTCCCACCGATAGTTTTTGTTTAATTATCTTATCACCTACCTTTAGATCTTCCCACGGATAGGTTTTTTAATATATTTTATAACATGTATGTATTTATAGCATTTCAATATACATGGCGTATAATTAATTTCTTCTTTGCTGCTCATCAACTTTAGATGTAGGTAGGGGTGTACAAGTAAATTGTAAAGTCAAACCAAATCGACAAATCAAATCAAATCGAAAAAAGAATGACTTGTAGTTTGGTGGTTGGAAAAAAAATTGATCACTCTTAGTTTGGTTTGGTATTAAAAGAAAAAAAGCTAAACCGAACTCAAACCAGATCGACATATATATAACTTATTTTATTTATACATAAAAATATTATTTACATATATATATATATATATATATAGAGAGAGAGAGAGAGAGAGAGTCATGAGAGGAAGACGACCAAGGATATATTTTTGTCAACTAAAAATAATTTCAAGCTTAGTTTAATTATACCTTGCAATTAAATATTCAAATTTTTAGAAAAACCAACAAAAATTTATGTAATTCCCAATGAATCCACCACTAAGTGAATAATTGTGGATTCTAATGGACACACGTGTACCAATACATTTGGAGGAGAAAAAGAAGTCACTGCAAAGTTACATAAACCCCATTTATTGATTTATTATTACTTCAAAAGTCTATACATTCAAGCTGATACATTTTTTTTAAAAAAAATTCTTATTTTTGAATGTTTAATTTTTAATGGATTCTTTTATACCAAAAATTCAAATTCAAGGGCTTTTAATTATTTCCTTTTTAAGTGTGGTTTGATCATGAAAAAATACAGTTTATTTCATTTAAAAAATTTATAGTTGAAGTCGTAAAAGTTTGTGCAAAAAATATTTAGAATATAAATATAATTTTTCTTAAGGCACAATACATAAATATGACATTTAATTTGGTGTCATCTAACATATATGTAATTTAATTTTAGATATTTACAAGTAGAGACATAATCTTCAATAAAATTGAACAAGTTGGCACTTGTGTTTTACTTGATGTCCTACATGACAATATATTTGACGTCATATGTGATATTTTATGTCGCTATGCCTACCCCGAGGGATCTCGAAGCGCTACGTCTCGAGGACCCCCCTACCCCGAGGGATCTCGAAGCGCTACGTCTCGAGGACCCCCCTACCCCGAGGGATCACGAGGCGCTACGCCTCGAGGACCCCCTCACCCCCCCCTACCCCGAGGGATCACGAGGCGCGCGCTACGCCTCGAGGACCC